TTCTCTTTGCAGTCTAATTAGGTACTTCCTGTTCTCTGCCCATTGGCACTCTTGGTTATTTATCAGCTCCTTTGAGCAGGGGGAAATCAAGAATTTATTTTCTTTGTAGCAAGTCAAGTCACTGATTTCCCCTCCCCCATTTGTAAGGCTGTTATTTTGTAAACACAATAATAAACAATTATTATTGGATCTTGACCGTGGTGGGGGGATAGGGTGCCAGAGCTTCCCGGGGTACTGCCCCTTGAAGATGCTAGCTTCTCCTTCTCTTTGCAGCCTAATTAGGTACTTCCTGTTCTCTGCCAATTGGCACTCTTGGTTATTTATCAGCTGCTTTGAGCAGGGGGAAATCAAGAATTTATTTTCTTTGTAGCAAGTCAAGTCACTGATTTCCCCTCCCCCATTTGTAAGGCTGTTATTTTGTAAACACAATAATAAACAATTATTATTGGATCTTGACCGTGGTGGGGGGATAGGCTTAGCCACAAGGTATGGATAGGGACTCTGGGGCAAGTGATGCTCTGTCATCTTGGTGCTTGGGGGGGGGGGTCAACAGTGGGATGGCTTCTAATGTCCTGGCCCCACTGGTGGACCTCCCCATGGCACTGGTTTTTCTGGCCCCTGTGTGCCACAGATGGACTGGATGGGCCTTTGGCCTGATCCAACATTGGCATCTCTAATGTTCTTATGTTCTTAACCAACTTTTAGCAGGGGATATAGCTTTATATTAAATACTATGTGGTACCCTCATTTCCTGTACCTTATTGAGGAAAGTGGTTCTTTCAGCAGCATAAAAATAGCATTATGAGGAAGCACCCTAAGTCTAGTAATCATGCAGGATGGATATTTCGCTGATTACAGAATATCAGTGCAGTGCAAAACATCAAGAAGACAAAAGTACTGTCTACTGAGGAATTATACATGCTTAAGGTTGACAGTGATGAAACTGAAATTGCTAAAGATTTCCTGCTCCTTGGTTCCATCAACCAAAAGGGAGACTGCAACCGAGAAATCCGAAGGAGATCAGGGAAGGGCAGCCAAGAAAGACCTAGAAAAGATTGAGTGTAAGGATGTGTCACTGATGACCGAGATCAAGATAATTCATGCCATAGTCTTCCCTATTACTATATATAGGTGTGAAAGTTGGACAATGAAGAAAGCTGACAGGAAGAAAGCGGGTTCCTTTGAAATGTGGTGCGGGAGGAGATTTTTACAGATACTGCCAAAAAAAAGACAAGTAATTGGGTTCGAGATCAAATCAAGCCTGAACTCTACAATGACTAGTTACAATGACTAAACTGAGGCTATCATACTTTGGTCCCGTTATGAGAATATGTCACCGGAAAAGACAATCATGCCAGGACTGGTTGATAGCAGCGGGAAAAAAGGAAGACCCAACATGAGGTGGATTGACTCAATGAAGGAAACCACAGCCCTCAGTTTGCAAAACCTGAGCAAGGCTGTTAACTTCAGAGCATTCTGAAGGTCATTAATTCACAGGATTGCAGTAGGTCAGAAGGGACCTGATAGCACTTAACACACAAGACAGTGCTGGCGTATGAATAACCCAGGAGATCTTCCATCCCATGTGATTACGGACCTCAGGGGTCTCTATGCATTACAATATTCTTGTGCCCACCATTAGAAGTTTGCATCGGCTGTATGATAGCTTTGTACCCCCTAGATGCACAACAGCCCTTTTCCGCTTGTGACTATGGTGCATGGGAAGACGCATCTTCACCCCTCCCCTTTTCACCATCTACAGACCACCGTGTAGAGCCTCCATTGGCCCCATTTCAAAATCATGTTACTTACTTGGCATCATCTAAGTTTTGCAACAGAGCCAATGGCAGCTCCATTGGTCTGAGAATATGAAATCACTGGGAAAATGATGCTATGTCCAGTGCTACTGCTTGGACAATGATCCTTGCATTAACAGAACACAATGGAGCTGGAGATGAATGCACTGATATTCAGTTGGATGCACTCCATCATCTCTCCCTCCGCACTGATGTCATTACATGTGCTAGCCAACGGGTTCTCTTCCCACCTGGCATTTCCCTCCCCAGCTCAATCACTCTGAAACTTGCAGAACCAATATTTGCCTAGCTTGCCCAAGAACAGAGAGGAAATGAGACATTATCAAACTACTTCCAGCAGTTCTAAGATGCTGCATCTGTTTTCATCCCAAAACAACAAAGAGATGGCTACATCAACCTGCATCAGCCAGCAGTGCTCAAACCCCATCTCCAGACTGGGCCATTAACACACGGAAGCATCAGAAAGGAAACTGACTCTGGTTGAACTATTCGCTCTTGATGCCCACAAGCTGGATGAGACACAGCTGCTGCTTAATCAGCACATCAGCAACTTTTATCAGAAATGGCAGCTAACAACACACAGGCGCCCCATCCTCCCACACACTGGAAAATATTCGGACTGGACATTTCATTTGCGCAAGCCTACCGAAGTGCCGAGAAGACAAATGAACAGGATTATACTGGTACACATGCACTTGTGAAAAAGGCTATTCTCTCTTTGCAGACTTTAACTATGGACCTAGTTCCCAGGCAGTTAGGGAAATGAGTGGGGACAGTCCTCATGCTCTTGCTCTCTCCCCCCCTCCTCGCTTTCAAAACTAATAATTTCCACTTGAGCAGAAAACTGTAGCTTTGCATCCTTTGAGTTCTTGTACAGGGAGCCCCTACAGGAGATCTTGGCATTACAAGAGAAAAAACAGGTCCTACCTGACATTCCACCAGGGCTCCTGTCCTTGCAACACACTATTCACTGCTCTGATCAGAGACCCTCAAATGCCTACAAGGAGAAGGATGCAAGACCACTTGATTGCAGACACCTGAGCAACACTTTAAAGGAAGGAAGGAAGGAGGGGGAGAAAAGACTGGATTTATACCCTGCCCTTCACTCAGAGTGGCTTACAATCTCCTTCCCTTCCTCTCCCCACAACAGACACCCTGTGAGGTAGGTGGGGCTGAGAGAGCTCCGAGAGAACAGCTGAGAGAACTGTGACTGACCCAGGGTCACCCAGCAGCTGCACGTGGAGGAGTGGGGAATCAAACCCAGTTCTTCCAGATTAGAGTCCATGCACTTAACCACTACAGCCAAACTGGGTCTGGGGGCACAGAGATATATCCTTTGTCAATGTATATCCCTTCCAGTTGGTGAAAGTGACATGGTCCCTGAACTACAGGATACAGTGAGTACCCTGGGTTGGCTAAACACATTGACTGCATGTTAACCATCTGAAAGTGTGTCATGACTGGTGGTTTCATCAGCAAGTGTTCATGATGCAGCTGAGGAGTTTCAAGGCCTCAAATAGCTCTGAACATTCCCTTCTTCTTTTTAAGTGTAAAGAATAGTGAGAACACACCAAACGGGTGTCTCCAATTATACAGTATAAGCAGATGTTCTCCATTACCCCATTGGTGCTTCGAAGGATTCAGTAATCACAACGTCCCTTAGAAAACACTGAAAACCATGAGCTCTGTGCTGAAGACATTACTGTGCGCTCTGATGTTAGCTCCACCGAGTGTGTTGAAAACACTTCTAGGCATTCCCTTACAGGAAGGTTGTCTGCGGCCTCATCAGAGAGAGGGCTCCTTCCCTCTTCTTCTCGTTTTTGCAAAAAGGATTTCATCCACTGGAAACCAGAGCCATTCCACCAGAGCAATTTGGGCTGGGGATCTCCAGCCCAGCAGCTCAAAAGAAAGAGCTAGTTAGGTGGTTTTGTTGTCTTGCCTGGGATGGATGGCAGGACATCTTTTAATCCTCAGTTCCAGAAGAGCTGGTTCCGAGGCCTCATCAAACATCTCAAAACATAAGAAGCAAGCTGCTAGGTTATTCTTTTTTCTTGGAATCCTGTTATCATACCCAAAGACCAGGGTTGCCAGACCCCGGTGGAGGCGGGGGTCCCCCTGCTGCCAGGCCCTACCCTCCCCAGCTGCCAATCAGCTGGCCGGCAGGGAAACTTACCAGTAGAAAGAAGAAGGCCTAGACCACGTTGCCATTGTCATACAGGAAGTGACATCACGCCAGCGACTTCCAGGCGATGCTCTGATATTTGGGCAAAAAATCAATGGTAGAAGCCAGCTTTACCATCGTTTTTGCCCAAATACCAGAGCGTCACCTATGATGTTGCTTCCTGTGCGGTGTAACAATGTGGCCTAGGCCTGCTGTTGAGTTAGGGCACTTCTTAATCCAAATTTTAAAAGTCTCCATTGAGGACACATACGGTGCAAACAGCTTTTATTTATCAAATTAAAACAAAAATGGAAATTCTTTTCTTGAAGCTCAAAACCTTTTTCTGACAACTCCCCTTTCCTTTAATACAGAGTTCATTCCTGCAGCTTATTCAAGACTGCTAGCATGCGGAACAAGCCCAGTCACTGTATGCTGAAGCCCCTGAGCCCTACAGAGGCAAGAAATTCCAAAAGATCCGTTACCCTCTTGTGCCTGACATTTGATTTATTTAGAACATTTTAGAGCGGCCTTTCTGCCCAATCAGGGTCCCCAAGGCTGTGAACATGGAAGCAATGCTTCTCGTCTTTTGTCTTAGTCATTTCCCCTCTTCGCACATCCAGTTCTGAACTAGGCGGCTATTAACTGCTCTGCCAGGACATTTCAGACCTGTGTGAGACGTAGCCCAGAGTGGTGTCTTTCCATAAATGTGCCCACAACTTGCTAGTCGTTTTTGTACATGTTTTAGAAGAGTTTCAGTGAATACCTAACATCTGTGCAATAACTGTCAACACATTATTCTATTATACAGCAAACACAACTGTAGAACAGGCAAAAAAAGCACACATGGGAAACAAACAAACACTCAGCCCGACATTTGGTCCATGGAGGGACTGGACTCTAACCCTATTATAAACCAAGTTCTCACAGCCTCCAAAGGCACAGGATTTTGGGCCACCATCTCTAATGAAGCGACAGATCACTGACATTGCTCTGAAAGGCATCCAGCCACCCTTTGATCTCTTTCACGGATTCAACTTCCTCCGGCTGTGGGAGAAATAGCCACCCGACGTGACTAGCCGGGCAGAGGCCCCCAAGGCTGCAGAAGGGCTGTAAGGGATAAAGAATACCGGGGAGCCCTGAAGTTCAGCAGTGAACACCAAGGCATTGTTGGGATCTGTCTCTCCTTGGACACGGCAGGGTCTGGGAGTGGATAAGGCAACAAGTTGCATCCTGGAGGCATCGTCCTCTTTCTGCTTGGAAGGCACTTCTCCTGCACAGTAAAAAGCAACAAGAGCAAAGAAGAGTATCACAGTGGTTATAATGATCAATTCGATCCAAATTCAGCTCTCTGTCTTGGCTGTGGTTTATCAGGATGCTGATTTACACTTTTGCAGCAAGAATCTGGCAGCCGCATTAACAACCAACACAGCGGGGTGAATTATCATTCCTTCCTACACCCCCCCCCCCCCCCCCAGTCCCAGGCCAGGAAATGCCTTCACAAGAAAAATGCCAGATTTGTTGGTTGCTTCTCACAGTGGCACCCGTGTGAACTGGACCTCTATATGCACCACAGGGTGCTCTGATAAATCATTGTGGGATACACTATACATTATTTTAAAATATTTATACCCCACTGTTTAGGAAAATCCCAGAGGGATTAACAACGCAAACAAGCATTGAAGATCATCAGGCTAATAAGGTCTAAACTCTTATTAGTGTTAGAAGGGTTGGCATTTGAGTTAGGTTCAGCCAAGCCACCTCTTTGGTTCCCAAATCAGGCAGATGACTAATGGCGTTCCTGATAATGCAAGAACCTATGTTGAACATCTATACCCTAAGAAAGGTGGCATTCTTGACACCTGTGCCATGTATCTTTAGGACCAATGTGACTATAACATCCAGAGCATTACTACGGGACAAGGTTCTTGTTTCACCACCCAACAGGATACATTGCAGACTGCTGGATGCCACTAGACTCCAGAGCCCCAGCACAACGGGATTTTGTATACTTGTTTGGTTATACAGGAAGACAGCTTTGTCATAAGCCCACAAGTACCACTGCATCTGTCGACAGGGGAGGCGGGCAATTCTGGAAGAGGCGTGGAGTTGCAGGCAAACAGTTCGTTTGCATCGAGGGCAATCTGACTCGGGTCTGTAGACTGCTGGGAATGAACGATGGAGATGTAAAACTCCTCCAGGGCCTGTGACAAGCAATCAGTTGCACTTCCAGGAGGTTCAGCTGTCTGCAATCAAACGGAACAGGGAAAGCAGCCTTGCTTACTGCATGAAGAAACCCAAGTCTGCAGGTCAAGGCACATTGCCATGGATTCCCCAAGACATTTACACCCGGTCTGTCTCCCAAATCATTAAAGGCTGATTGAAGTCTATGGGCCAAGGCCGCACTAAAACTCAGCTAAAAGAAGCCATTTCATGCAATACAAGATAATGAACATTTAGAAAGAATCTTAGCCGACCAGTACAAATATGCCAGCCCACCCACCCCTCATGTGCTAGAGGAAAACTAGGTCTAGCTAGCTATTTGCTGGAAGGAGTATCTGCCTGAGGTATGCAGCCCATTCCACTACAAAATGTCCACTTCAGCAGAATTTGCAGTGTTTTGGTTCATTTTGATTTCTCTCCCCTCCCTGCCCTATCGAAAGGACCGGGGTTAAAGGAGAGCGGGAGCATGAGACGGCTGGCATGGAACAGTGAGCAATGGCATTGGGGCAGGGCGCCGCCATGCAAGGGCAGACACCACATTCCCCAATAATGAGAAGCCCCCCTCAGAGGTCACCTGATGCTATCAACAGGTTTGGACTGATCCTGGAAGACACACAGGTTGCAGAGACTTCGAAGGATTTCATCAAACCACTTAAGTCAGTAAGTACATCTTGCAATATTTTGGCTGTGTTACTTTTAAATCAGGATGTTTTCTCAACGACGACACTGGGAAATATCTGAACGTCCACGTTCTGCCATAAACTGTTTACACTGTTTTCGAAAAGGGTAAAGCAGTAATGGCGGATAGACCATGAAAATAAGACAAGGAGCGATTTGGACAGTCAAGACAAGAATGAAGTTAGGGAGTATTGGGCTACGGGAGAGGGGCTCTCTCTGGGGAGGCGACTGGTTTGGTTCAGGTTTTTCTGTGTTTACTAGGAGAAGGCTGGCCATTTAACTCAACAGAGGAATTTCTCTGTGAGGCACGGCCCCAGAGGACCACTGGTGACCAGGAGCAAGCCCAGCAACTCTGCCAGTGCTTCAGGGGCCTCTGGACTCAGACCCTTCATCAGCAATTGCAGCTGGTGTCAGCTCACAAAATGTCTCCTCCCCATACTGCTGACAGGTTTTCTTTTTGGAGGGGCGGAGAAAGGTTGAGATAATGCCCACTGTTGGTGCTGCTGAGCTGAATGGCCCATGCAGTGCTGAAAGTTGTAGCACCACAGGGGCCACTCAGCTCCAGGGCCATTTACAATTCCCCGTCTACTCCTGGGTCTTTACTATTATCCTCATTTTCACTATAGGCCCAGAGCTACTTCCAGTCTCAGCTTCTGGGATAATAAAAGGGTAAAGCGTGCCGTTGAGTCGCAACCAAGCCAATGAAAAGAGCTATAAAATACAGGTTAGTGGATGTAACAGCACAAGGACTATAACATCACCAGTGGCCAGTAGCTCATTTCCCTTCCTTCCACAACAGCCACCTGTTGCTCCAGTTCTTGGCTATGCTGGGTCTCATTTCCCCCTTCGGTGATACAAGTTTGGCTGGGGAACACTGCAACGTCTGAGCATGAATTATCGCAGGTACTGTCTTCTTTTTCTTCTTCTCCCACAGACAAGAGAGGTATCCAGTCCTCATCCCAGATTTCTGTGCATAAATAGACAGGCTCCAGATATGGCATCTCCGGGACTGAACACGGGCTGGCTGTATCCTAGAAGACAAACCAAGGCAATGGTCCAGTGCTATTAACAAAAGGGAAATGGTAATATAAACTTCCGATAGCAGGGGGGGGGAATGCCCCACAAATTACAGTGCCATATTAGGGGTTACACTCCTCTAAGCCCAATGACTTCAGTGGAATTTAGCATATCATTCTGTTTAAGATAGCACTGTTACTTCCATAACCTACAAACAATGTTTAAATATTAACACCTACAAACAATGTTTAAATATTAACAGTGGTTCTCATTGACCCTCCGATGTTAACTTTTCAATAAATAAATAGAAAGAGTAATGTACAAAGCATTACCATAAAAATAGGTAACAATGACATTTCTCTCAATTCATGTTCATGGCTTCAACTGCTTTGTAAAGGAAGGACAGACATTTTGGGGAAGGGAGAGACAGAAGATAGATTCAAAATCTGCTTAGGATTCAGGACCTAAAGCGGCCGACATCATTCTTTGCACTGCCATTTTATCCACACAGCAACCCTGTGAGGTAGGTTAGGCCAAGAGGATGTGACTGGCCCAAGACCATCCAGTAAGCTTCACGGCAGAGAGGGGATTTGAACCTGGGTCTCCCATATCCTAGTCTGACACGACAGTACACTGGCAAAGGATGGGTCTTTAAATTGTGGAATTCATGCCAATGGATATAGTGGTGACCACAAGTACAGATGGCTTTAAAAGGGGATTAGGCAGATGCATGGAACAGAGGTCCATCAATAGCTACTAGCCATGGTGAACAAAGAGACCCTCTGAGTACCTGTTGTAGGGGGCAGCAACAGGGACCCATTTGTTGGCCCTCCAGGGCAACTGGTTGGCCACTGTATGGAAACAGGTTGCTGGAGCAGATGGGATCACTGGTCTGATCCAGCAAAGCTCTCAAGTTAACTAATTAAAGAATTAGGAAGAGATTTTATCGATCCACTTGTCCCTCTGCCTCTGTTAGTATGTTTTTGGTTTGCATTATAATGAGAAAGGCAATCTCACTATATTTTAGGTTTTCTGGGAATAATGATTAATGATTTATGTGAACATCATTCTGCAAAGTGCTGCAAGGGCTGGGTGTGGGGGGAAACAGCTAGGTCTCAACCACCAGATGAGCTCTGAGATACAGATGGGAAAGTGTAGCTTCATCTGCCCTATATGGGGTAGAATCACTGAGTCATGACAACACAAACACAGAGCAGTGATTCAGCTGCCCCACGAATGCCAGCTGCCAGCTTGAAGCTTCTTCTGCTCTGCTAGGCCCCTTGGATGATGTGGAACGATGTGAGGATCTAGGATTATATACGGTTTAGTTGTAAATATTCTTAATTTCTGCACCTTAGCTTGGGAAGTCTGTTCCTTTGGCACTAGTCTTGGATTCTCAGGAGAGTTTTTGCAGCGGTTTCTTGCTGGGCAGTCACCTGACTTCTTAGCAGAAACATCCAAGCAGCCATGCCCCAATGCCTGTCGCTCAGGTTTCGGGCATGCCCAATCCTCACTTTTCTCATCACACCTCTAGAAATAAGAACAGGCCTGTCAGTGTTCATTGGTTCAACGTAAACGCTTGACGGCACTTTGTGTGAGTTTGTCTTACAGCAATACCGACTCATTCAACCCCCAAATTTTCCAAGGTTACGCCAGGATCACCGCCAGAACCATGAGACGTACCCCATGAACCCAAAGAGAATCTCTCATTTTTTCTTGGCCCCTCACCCCCGCCCTGAAAACCTGTCTCAGCTTCAAAAGCAGTTTGCTGAGGCATGAGGGTCTGCTGTTCAAAAGGGGGGAGAAATTAAAACTTTCACCAGGCTAGTGCAAGCTAACACAGAAAAACATTAACTGAACAGGACTAAATAGAGAAAAGATGGGAATAATACACTGAAGAAGTATACAGAAGAGATGGCAGATTCCTTCCCAGAAGAATCTCTTCTTTTAAAAAAACATTTTATTCAAGTTTGTAACAGGAAATACAATATATAATAAATACAATTCAATATGTTAAAACTTTGTTCAAAGACTACAGGGCAATTAATGTGACATACAGGATACTGACTTGCCTGAGTTATTTCCCTACCCGGAAAGAATAAGTTGCGATGGCCTTGGGAGAGAAGGACTGGACTAAATTGATGTTATTAAATTGACTTGCCTGGGATATTTCCCTTCCCACAAAGAACAAGTTGGGAGAGATGGAAACCTTGTTGTATTGAGCTTCTGGCATTTCATTTATGTGCTATTTTTGTATATTTACATTTGTTATCTTACTTTTGGTATATGAATTTTGTAATTTATTGGGTTGAATAAAGATATTTTTAAATTAAAGAATTATATACAGGAATACAGAGAAAACATAAATCATGAATATGGCTCTTAAATCATTTTCACTTGGAATTACCTGTTGCTGTATTCAATAGTCTAATATAGGAAACCATATTGCGATAAAACTGGAATGGGAGGAGTGTGCCTCAATTGGAGACAGGTTGTCTATGATTTTTGCCATTACGTAATGGTCCTAGATTTTTCAATGCCAGAGAGACAGATTGTGCACCAATTTGTTTTTCCAGCAAATTGCTATAGCCGTTTTCACAGCTGACAATAGGATAGAGATTATTTCTTTAGTGGAATGAGGGCAAGAGTTATTTGACCAGCAATTTAAGAACAGATTTTCCAAGTATAAGGCTACAGTGTAGCCAGTAATGACATAGATTTGAGCACTATATCCCAGAAATTATTATTTTTGAGCAATATAGCCAGCAATGTATGTATGTGCCTGTTTCTCCACATTTTTTCCAGCACAATGCAGATAATGATGGGTTAGAGTAAGATAATTTGGGGGGCGTAAGATACCAATGAGTCAGAATTTTGAAAGTTTGGGGTTTTGTTGTGGCTATTTTAGAATCAAAAGGGGATGAGTTCCAAATTTTAAGCCATATATCATCAGCGAGAGCATTATTACAGGCTCTGTGCCACAAAGTCTGATAGGATAAAGGTTTTTCACTATTTAAGTTGCAAAGGATTTTGTATAAAGCTGAGATCAGGTGTTTGTGTTCTTTTTTTTTAGTTGATGTTGGCCTGAAGTACTCTTTCAAAGTCTGTTAATGGAGTGGATAGTAATGTAGGAAGGTTAATTAATTTTAGAGCAAAGGTGATTGATTTTAAAGTATTGGAACCAATTTAGACTCTAAAGTGGATTTATTGGAAAGAGTTTTATTGGAGGAGACATCTACCAAGGTTGTAAGATTTGCTTGTTTCCATGTTTCAAAAGCTGAAATGTTTAATACTGGTGCAAACTATTTATGGTTTAAAAATGGAGTAAATTTAGAGACCCAGAAGAATCTTTTGAAGAGGAGTGTACAATTTCTGAAAGTGAAGTGAAGGCTGTACTGAGAGCAACTGGGAGAAACAAATCACCAGGAGCAGATATTAGTGGAGCAATTTCAGGCCACAGAAACTGAGTCCATCAAAATCTTAACAAGAATATGCCAACAAATATGGAAAACAAAACAATGGCCCACAGACTAGAAATGCTCAGTTATTGCATTCCAATTCCAAAAAAAAGAGACAACAAAGACTGCAGCAACTATCAGACCATCATATTAATTTCTCATGCAAGTAAAGTGATGCTCAAAATCTTACAATAAAGTCTGTTACCATATATGGAACAAGAAACTCCAGATATTAGAGCTGGATTCAGAAAAGGAAGAGGCACTAGAAATCATATTGCAAATTTACATTGGTTACTGGAACATACAAGAGAATTTCAGAAGAAAGTCAGCTTGTGTTTCATAGATTATTGCAAAGCTTTTGATTGCATAGATCATGATAAGCTGTGGCTGGTTTTAAAATGAATGGGTGTGGCATAGTATCTGATTATTTTCATGCACAACCTATACTCTGGACAAGAGGTTACCATAAGGACAGAATATGGAGAAAGAATGGTTTCCAACTGGCAAAGGCATCAGACAAGGATATATTTTATCTCCCTGTCCCTTCAATCAATATTCAGAATATATCATAAGGAAAGCTGGATTAGATTTAGATGAAGGTGGAGTGAAAATTGGTGGAAGGAACATTAACAATCTGAAATAAACAGATAACACCACATTACTGGCAGAAAACAGTGAAAACATGAAATGATTGCTGATTAAGGTTAAAGCAGAAAGTGCCAAGCAGAATTGCAGCTGTACATCAAAAAGACAGAAGTAATGACAACTGGGGAATCACACAACTTTAACGTTGACAGTGAAGAAATTGAAATTGTTCAAGATTTTCTATTCCTTGGCTCCATCATCAACAGAAAGGGAATAAGAACATAAGAGAAGCCATGTTGGATCAGGCCAATGGCCCATCCAGTCCAACACTCTGTGGTCAAAACCCAGGGGCCATCAGGAGGTCCACCAGCGGGGCCAGAACTCCAGAAGCACTCCCACTGTTGCCCCCCAAGCACCAAGAATACAGAGCATCACTGCCCTGAGACTGGGAATGGTAGCCATGAAGGAGCTAGAAAAGATTCTTAAGTGTGAGGATGTGTTGCTGGCGACCAAGATCAAGGTAATTCATACCACACTATTCCCCATTACTGTGTATGAGAGTAAAAGTTGAACAATGAAGAAAGCTGACAGGAAGAAAGGTGACTCATTTGAAGTGTGGGGTTGGAGGACAGTTTTGCGGATACTGTGGACCACCAAAAGGACAAATCAGTGGGCTCTAGATCAAATCAAGCCTGAACTCTCCTTAGAAGCTACAATGACTAAACAGAGGCTATTATTCTTTGGTCACATTATAAGAAGACAAGTCACTGGAAAAGACAATAATACTAGGAAAAGTTGAAGGCAGCAGGAAAAAAGGAAGACCCAACATGAGATGGATTGGCTCAATCAAGGAAACTATGGCCCTCAGTTTGCAAGACCTGAGAAAGGCTGTTAACAAAAGGATGTTTTGGAGGTCATTAATTCATAGGGTTGCCATAAGTCAGGAACAACTTGACGGTGCTTACAACACACACACAGTGTACGCTCCTTCTTTTTTTAAAAAAAATCTCTTTTTATTGTTTTGTAAAAGGCGTTACATATAACACAAACATATCGGTCCTAGATTTCAACATGTAACATCTAAGAAAGTTACTAACAGTTTGACATCTATCCACACACCATACAGCACTATTGCAATACTGTGAGTTTACCATCTCTACTCTATAAATATAACCATTTATGGTAAATCTGCTTAGCCGGGAGTATATCATTCGTCACCATATAATCTAACACTGGGGCCCAAATCCAAACAAATTTAGTGTAAGTGGGGGTATTGCTATTATTTGCTCTCTTCAAGGAATCCGTAATTTTCGCCATTATAAACTGATCCCAGACTTTCTCTTGCCACGCTGAGACTAGTGTACGCTCCTTCCATGATCCTAAGCAGCTCTATGAATGTCAGCTAATATTTAGCCTAAAAAACAAGTCCACATAATATTTTTTTGAGAACCAACCAAAATGACACAAAATAGCATGCAGGCTTTCACGTTCATCAAAATTCAATACCAGGCTAGAATAAAATCCACTCAAATAAAATAAAATCAAGGAGGGGGGGGGACACACAAATATCTCAGAGCATGAATTTCAGACCTGGTCTTCTCAACATCCTGTGTAAAATGCTGAGCCAAAATATAGATTTAAAACAGTGCTAGTGTGTGGGTTGCATCACTGGCATTCTCGGACCAAGTAATTAAAAATTCCTCCTATTATTATGCAGACTTCTTGTTTTTGGCTTTTGCTTTCAATCAATACAGCTGCCTACAACTTCTAGATAATATTTATGGCATACAAGGAAATGAAATATTTGAGGATAGGTTATTACCTTAGTCACAAATGAACCACAAATTAGATTCCAAAAAGTAATCCCATGCTTACGATAAGGATATATTATTGTTTACACAAAAGTTAGTGTGCGAGGGGTTTTAAATAAAAGGTTACAGGCCTGCCCCCAAGCTGAATGAAAGGATTGGTAAACAAGTGTGATAGTTAATTAAGCTGCATGAGCCAGACTAAGGAATCAGGAATACTGATAACTTGGACTTCCAACATCCTGGGTGAGTTCAGATGTGCCATCTGATCTGGTGTCGTGACAGTTCAGCAACAGATTTTATATGCACAATCACACAGTCAACATCTGCTTCCTGTTCCCAGCTGTTGGTTTCCTGCTCAAAACCCCTTTAACCCGGAGCATTTTGTTACCAGGTCCCAAAGTGGTGTTTTCTCAGCTCTCCCGTTTAAAGCTGCAGTTTCCCCTGTGTGATCGCTCCTGTGGTGCTAAGCCACTTCCAATTATTTAAACCCCCTCCCCACTCGAAAGCCCAAGTCTTTCGCTTTTCAGCTGCCATTTTTTTGTGCATCAGTGGTATGCGCATAAGCGGAGCTCCGCTCCAGCGTTTTTAAAACCAACATTTAAACAGTCACTAGTTTTGGGCTCGAGATCCCAAAGAGACCAGTTTCGGGCGAAAAATTTAAAGGGAAGTCTTCTGTCAAAGCGGTAAAATCACGGTGCTCTGCGCAACTGTCAAGCGAAATCGATGATTTGCCCTAGTGGCTCTGTACATGTGCGAGGATAATTTTTTTCATTTCCACGGATGAACAGTTATGCACATGCGCAAACTGAGGGGGGGGGGAACCCAACACATGCTCCCGTGTGATCGCAATTGTCCAGAGTAAAAATAATCGTGTCAGAACCGGACCAGTTTAAACCGCTCTCAGCACGCCGTCTGAACGCACCCTCTGAACGCCTTGATAAAGCTCATGATGGCAAGAACAAGCAGAGTCAAGAACTATCAGAAACCACACAATGTAAGCAGTGCCTTGCTGGATCAGATCATGGTCCACCTAACTGCACATTATGTCTTCAATAGGACACGGAGACTTCCCTCAACTTGACCCTAGCATCTGGAATTAAGGAAGACTGAAGGAGGGGGTGGAAAAGGTACCTTATATGCTTTGAGACAGGGGAGAAAGGAACGGTGACTGGCTTAGTACATGAAAAGTACTAGGGTGTGGCTCTCCAGAAAGGAACAACCAGTCTCTTCAGAAGTGAACAAACAAATTGTGCTTGGGAACATGGAATGTAATTGTAGTATGGGGGCTACAGGTCACAAGACCAACACAACAACTTGGAACTCTGGCACAAATTATACAGGTGAGCCAAGCACTTTGTGTACATTTCCTGAGTGCCCCCACAGAGAACATCTCCATGTTGGGCAGGCCTCTTGTGCAATGCAAATCATACACATGACTGGACTACACCCCACCAGCATCACTTCTACATTGTCTAGATTTAACTTCAGTTTGTTTATTCTCATTCTCATAAGCACAGTTCCATATGCTGTTTTAGAACCAAGGCAACTGTACCAGAATGTTTAGTCAGAGAAATGCAGAGCTGAGTGTCATTAGCAGACTGTTGACAACAACCTCAAAGCCTTGGAAGATCTCACTCAATGGACTCTAGATGCTCAACACTTGTCATAAGATCGAACCCTGTGGTATACCACAAGAAAGCTCCCAAAAGAAGCCAAGTTAGTATCACCAAGGATGGACACTTTAGCACAGGACCCTCCCAGCTTGGTGTCGTGGTTAAGAGCGGCAGAGTCTAATTTGGAAAACTGGGTTTGATTCCCCACTCCGTCACATGAAGCCAACTGGATGACCTCGGGTCAGTCACAGCTCTCTCAGAGCTCTCTCAGCCCCACCTACCTCACAGGGTGTCTGTTGTGGGAAGAGGAGGGAAAGCAATTGTAAGCCACTCGAGACTCCTTCGGGTAGTGAAAAGTGGGGTATAAAAACCAACTCCTCTTCTTCCCTTCCCCCCCAAAAAACATGACTAGTGATGATAAAGCGAGTCCAAACAGTCCAACTAGTTACGAATATTTCAGCATGCTCCTTTACACAGCAGCCAATATGTAGCTTCTGGGGAAGCACAGAAGAAGGGCCATGAGGTCTCCCCTGCTGTGACTCCCATGTAACTGGCATCCCAAGCTATGCTACCTATGAACACAGAGGTTCTATTTGGCTATCAAAGCAAACACCTGCTGCTAAGACCTACCTTGCATGAATTTGCCAAGTCCCCTCGATCATATCTTGTGGCAGGGAACTCCTTACGTGTTGTGGAAAGAAATCATTCCTATCTGTCCTGAACCTATCAGCCATCTATTTAATTGGGCTCTCCCTAATTCTAATAATATGGGAGATATATAATAACTTTTGACCATACCATTGCAAAATATTATAAAACTCCATGTCTTGTTCTCCTCTGTCTTTTGTTCGAAATCAGAAGAGGACCAAACACTTCAGCGTTTCCCCCATTTATTTACATACTGCAAAACTTGAGTTCTCTACTATAAGTTGGTTAGAAGGGTAAAGAGTTAGGCAATAAAGTGGACGGGGCAAAAAAAAAATAATCATCCACAAAACACACCTGGAAATGGACTTCATTTTTGCAAGGTTCTGAAGAGGGTGTTCCTGGAGGGCCCTGAAGAAACAGGGAAGCATCTGCCTTTTCCAAACCAACCTTTGGCTCTGGACTGGGCTTCAGATATAAAGAGGAAGGATTCAACTCTCTGAAGCCCTGTTAGACAGAAACAAGGACAGTTAAGGAACTATTTTACGCTTGTCAAGAATAAACTCTGAATGACATTTCAAGACAATAAAAATCTGCTTCAGGACAGAGACCAGTTATAATGATCAAACGTCTTTCATTTCACAGGTTCTCATAAAAATGCTATTACCGACATTTCATTAAATGGCTGAAATCTATAATGAAAGTGTCAAGACGGAGAGAATTCCTAACAATTCTGGCTCAAAAGTCTCTATATAAAAGCATCTGCATTAAATCCGTGGCCTTCAAAATTGATAGGCAGACTGGACTAGAGAGATGAGGCAAACCACTGGTCTCTCTCTGACTCCTTCCCACTGTGTGGTACCACAGTCCACTGATGTTTTCTGCAACGAGCACAAGGGAGTGTATATGGACATGCCACCAAACACTCGGGCCACCAAAAATAAACAAACTGGGGAAGTCGTTACCAAATGCGTAATAAGTCTTATTCAACGTGATACTACTATAGACAATATTTATACAAACTCTTAATAATTACAAGTATCCTCAGATATACAACAATAGCAAAGAATAACAAATAGATACAAAAAATAACGAAAAGTCCGGCTTTCAGCTTCGTTTCGCGGGACAACTTCATCAGATGTGATTATCCAAATATGTACTTGTTTTCTATGTGCAATACGCAGAGTATTTGCTATGTAGCATGTGCAATATGCAGAGTATTTGCTATGTACCGGTAGTTGCAAACTGGGACTAGCCCTTGTAATCCATATAGTTTAACAATATTGCTAAGTGGGCATAACTCCGTGACGAAATGCTTCAAGCAACAAAATTGCAAAAATGAGAGACAATGCTAACTGGGGTGTAGTCACAGAATTTTAAAGAACTACATGCAGACACACATGCTGGTTTGTATCAAAAGCAGGTTTCACATTAAACAGGGTTATTTTAAAAAGAGATAATGTAACTAATTTTAAAACAGCAAAAAAGGTGATCTAAGGTTGGTTTGTTTTTTTAACTAATTCATTCATCCCATAAACAAATAATCCTGTTGTTTCACAGATTTTGGGACAGGGCTCTTTCAGAAACAAAGGTAACTATTCACATGCTCCTTTTTAACCTTCCACTCAGGAAGCTTAAGATTTAGGGTGTGCCATCAGCCTATCAAACTTCTTTGGTTTGGTTCAGTGGGGAAAGTTGTTTTTCCCATGGCTTAGCAAGATTCACTACAAAGCAGTCTGAGACTGTCATGCCCTATTTATATTAATACTAATCTCTTGGGCAGCAGCCCTAATAGCCCAGACTAGACTGATCTCATCAGAAATTGGAATTTAAGCATGGTTGGTACTTGGATGGGAGACCACCAAGGAAGACAGAGGCTCCTATGAAAAGGAACACGATAGCAAAACCACCTCTGTTCATCTCCTGTCTTGAAAACCTCATAAGGTGGAACTTCACGGCGTCATCATGAGTTGGTTTTGATTCAATGCCACACTTTACTTATAACCTGTACGATCACCCCTCACAGAAGTAGCCTTCTCTACAGTAATTTGTCCTCCCTTCACCTTGGAAGGAATGTTCTGTCTGCAGAAGACTGCATGGCCTCCTAATCTCAATACATCGTGAAAGTAGATATCTTCATCAGAGCTGGTGTCACAAAGGAACAGATGAAGGACGCCATCTATGTATTCATCCACCACTCCCACCAGCAGCTTTAATTCACACAGCCTTTGGAATTCAAGTATGGCATCAGAAGTCCAATCGCCCTTGAGCGAAGAAAGGATAAGCACAAAGTCAAGCAAAATAAATTTCAGAGAACCGGAAGAGACATCAATCATCGGTTTATACAGAGGGCACCATTATAGCACGGACAACACAGCCCACAGTGTAGATTCCTTGTGGTATAGGAGGCAGGCTGGCATGGTGATTGGCGTGTTGGACTAGAATTGTAGCATCCAGGCTCAAATCGCCACTCAGCCATGAGGCTAACTGGGCAACCTTGGGGGGAAATTTAGAGTCCACTGGCACCTCTAAGACCAACAAAGAGTCTCAGATTTATTTTGACATATTTATTGCTTTACAACTGTTGATCTTATAACCTCAGCTTGTTATTTAATTCAGCTTTTGCATAGCTTAAAACATCTTCATCATGTTACATGTTCATTTGCTGTTCAGCCCGTCTATAAGTTTGAACCTTACCTCCCATTCCACTGTATTTGGAAAAGTGTGCTTTGCACATGAAAGCTCATACCTTGAATCAGGGCTTTTCTTGTAGAAAAAGTCCAGCAGGAACTCATTAGGATAATAGGCCACACCCAACAGCAGGAACTCATTCGCATATTAGGCCACACCTCTGACATCACAACTCATTGGCACATTAGACCACACCCCCACGTTACCAGAAGTGTGGTCATCCAGCCACACCCACCTTTTGCTTCTTATTCTGTTTACCTTGTTTGTTGTCAAAACCCAGGGCTTTTTTGTAGCAGGAACTCCTTTGCACGTTAGGCCACACACCCCTAATGTAGCCAATCCTAATGAGTTTCTGCTGTTGGGTGTGGCCTATTATGCTAAAGAGTTCCTGCTGGGCGTGGCCAACTTGGGAGCCAGCCGGAACTCCGTTCCCGTGCGTTCCTGCCCAAAAATAGCCCTGCCTTGAATAAACCTTTGTTGGTCTTAAAGGTGCCCCACTGGACTCTAAATTTGTTCTACTGCTTCAGACCAAAATGGCTGACTACCTGGGCAACCTTGGGCCAGTTTTGCTTTCTCAGTATTACCTGCCTCACAGGATTATTGAGAAGATAAATCTGGGTGATGAGGGAACCACGTATGTTACCCTAAGCTCCTTGAGTAAAGGGTATAATAAAAGCTCTATCTTATTAAGCACAAATATAGATTACTGATGCATGTTCATCACTTGCACATGTGAACAAGCCATAACCCTATCCAGTGAAATTTCTATCACTTCATATTCCCAAATGCAATGCTTTTCAATTCATACAATTACGAATTATTAAGTCCAGAACAGTTCAGCAATATACATGCACTGGTGTATCAGCTTCAAAATAACTTAGGAGCGTCACAAGTAGCTTTTCATATAAACAGCTAACTCCTTACAAATAAAAATCTGGATATTAGGGCTCCTTCACTTCGAGGAAATAAGACTGCAAATTCTATTTCAAACTCTGATGACACATACCATCAGGTTTGAGTAGAGCTGGAAGGAACTGTAAGTGGACATTTCAGAGTAAAAACTCATAGCTATTCTTCTGTTCATAAACTACATAAAAAGTTTATGCCGAGAGGCAGTCTCAGTGCATGCCCCACAATTAAACAGTATTGGCTGAATTTTCATGCGCTTAACAGTCATTCTCTTTGTGTGTATGAATATGTATGTGTATGAGAGATCTGCTTTTATGTTGTCCCGAAGGCAAGCCTCCCCAGGGATGGCCGCCACCGCTCGGGACTCCGATGCCCCCGACCCCCCATTTCCCGACCCCCATGGCACTCACAGGAAGGCAGGGGCGACCGACCCCGATGTCGCAGAGTCCCCCAAGCCCTGACGGGATGCCAACGGATCTTCAGGACAATGCCACCCCAGACGAGCTACAGGCCAGGGGGAAGGAAGCCCCCGGAGGAAAAGAGGGAACTGTGCTAGGCCACTGGCCCGGCGCAAGAGCCTGCCCACGGCTCAGAGCAGCTTGGGGAGGGAGAAATACAGAGTCTGCACAACTGTCGGGCCGAGAGCGAGCGAGCAGGGAAGACGCCACACCCACGGCTCAGCGTCCCGGCATAAGAGGAGGGGTCGGGGCCCGGGGGAGGGGTGGAGGTTGGAGCACAAGGGGAGACAGGTGACATGAAGAGGGAATAAAAGAGGACCAAAAGCAGAGGCCGAGGAGGATGAGGCACAGGCGACGTGAGAGCGGACAAGCAGAGAGAGAGTGCATTGTCTGACCTGCCAAGGGAGAGCAGAGGGTGGTGACGTAACCTCCTCCTCTCCCGCAAGTCTGAGGCCTCTGCGGTTCCTCAGGGAGGTGGGGCACGGTGGCTGACAGCCAACAGCTAGTAGGATCGAGCAACATCAACAAGGGATTGTCAAGCTCGTGTGACAGTTGTTACTGTCTTACAATTGCTTGGGATTACTACACACTGAATATTTACATACCTTTGCAGGTGTCATCTGGGCCAAGCAACAAGGTACAGCCTGGGCAGGAAGATCTGCATAGCAGTCCCTGCCATAAGAGCAAAGTAATAAAACTTAGAAACTGGGAGGCGACAACATCAGGAATCCTATTTGGTCTCCTGACTGGGCATTCCAGCAGGAAGCTTTTTCATATCTGGTTATTTACTTGTTTAAAAAGGCAACACTGCAAGCATAGAAATTACCACCAGTTCTCAAAAAACAACTATCGGCACAAGCAGTTCAAAGTCAGCTCTTACTGGCTGTATCAGGCCCAGGTGTCTCGTATCGATTTTATATGGGACAATGAGCCAAAAGTCAACATTTGAAGCTCATACAGGGAAACAGAGTGGAAACCAGGTGTCCCCAACCTTGTTCTGCCTGCAGGCACTTTTGGAATTTGAGATCAAGAAAAGGTAATGGGGGCCACTACAAAATGACTGCCCTGGGAAGCTTGGCCAATCACAAAATGGCTACTAGAGGCACATTTCCCTTACAAAATCAATATATGCTGCTGCAGCCAACAATGCTTTTGCCCCTCCTCTCTCTCCCTCTCTCTTTTACTTCTTCTCTGTCTGGGCCAAACATGACACTCTAGAAAACAAGACCCCATTATGATCCTGTGTCGTGCACGTGTCTACACAGCGATCCTATCATTTCTCATGCCACTACCTGACAGAGCTGACTGATTGTTATTGTGCCTGGGAAGGCAAGGAAGCAAGCAAACAGGCCTCATGTTGGGGATCACTGATCTAAGCAGTCAACTGTTTTATCACACAGGCGGAGCAGACAGCATGGTCTAAGTGAGGAGGCTAGGGCTTGCTCTGCTGGACCCCCAAGCCCAGCCTCCAAAGCGATCCTATCATTGCTCATGCCACTACCTGACAGAGCTGACTGATTGTTATTGTGCCTGGGAAGGCAAGGAAGCAAGCAAACAGGCGTCAGGTTGGGGATCACTGGCCTAAACAGTCAACTATTTCATCACACGGGCGAAGCAGACAGCCCATGCTAAAATTTCTCCTTACACATGCTAAAATTCTCCTTACTGCCAGGTTACTTCAGAGTGAGAGCACTGAGCCATGGGTATTGAGGTTCTCCACAGAGGCTCAGCAAAACACACACATATTAGATGAAGATACTCCAATTCTGCCACAAATTTTCAAAATAATCCACATCAGGAAAAAAGTAAATTAATCAAGAAACATTGTGAAATTCAACTGTATTTCCTTCAGATGTAGAAAAAAACAGGGAGGGGAACAAAAATATAACCCCAAAGAAATGAATTAAGAACCAAAAAGGTTTATTGGATACAAAATAAGGGGCCCAATATTTATTTCAATCAGTATAAAACATCAATATACAAATGTGTGACGGTTCCACACTGGTGGAATGAGCTCCCAGATAACATCAGGGCCCTGCGGGATCTTTTACAGTTCCACAGGGCCTGTAAAACAGAGCTCTTCCACCAGGCCTTTGATTAGGAGCCGCCACTGATGAATGTGCCACCGGAACACGCTATGGCCCGTACGAAAAAACAGTAGATATTGCCTCCGTCTATGGGATTGTATGTGGAGCTGCGGTGGCTCAAGTGGTTAAGACGCTGAACTGCAGGCTGTGGAAGGTCAGTAGTTCAGCAGTTCAAGACCCAAGTTGCCACATGACGGAGTGAGCTCCCGTCTCTAGTTCCAGCTCCTGCCAACCTAGCAGTTCGAAAGCAAGACATTGCAAGTAGATAAATAGGTACCACTTCAGTGGGAAGGTAACAGCGTTCCGTGCGCCTTGGTGTTTAGTCATGCCGGCCACATGACCACGGAAA